ACCCGGGATGCTTGTATCCGGCGCGCTGGTCGATGATCCTTCCGTTTCCGCTGTTTTCGGGGTGACTTCAGACTTTACAATGAGTTTTGGTTCTTTTGGTTGGCCTGAAGTGCTTGTCGTTGTCGCGGTGGGCATTGGTTTTTATTTTGCCCTGCCCTGCCGCCAGCACCTTGAGAGGATTTTCTTCCTTTAACCCGAACGGTAACACGGAAGAAATTCAGGAAAAGTCAGAACTCCGCTTTCCGTAGATCTTCCAATCCGGAATCATCCACGGAAAAGGTAATGGAGCAGCCCCCGTCCTTTTCCTTATCTATCCTCAGCACCCTCCAGGAACTTATCTTGAGGCTGGGATTTTGCTTCCCTATCCTACTTAGAAATTTGTCCCTGGAGAGACTGACGGTTGTCTCGTCCTTTGGTACGTAGGTGACGCAGACATGCTGTTTGGGCATGTCGTCGCCATCCAGTACCGCGACGTTGGAACCGTCCCAAGGCTTTATCTTCTTGCAGACACTGGTTATCCACTCCCTGGTGTTTTGATTGTTGCATGTTAGGGGTATCCATCCGTCCCTCTGCAACGCTGCAGTGAATTGTGGATGACAGTCCACAACTTTATCCATTTCATCCATGATGGCTACTTTGATTTTCCCCATCTGAACTTCGAATAGCCTTTCCTCTGGATGCAATTTATGAGTGATGACCACCTTGACCTGTGCTAATGCATCCCGATAAGAAGTCATTTTCGGGTTTTGTTGAGGGATGTTCCCAGGGACCTTTCTCTCAACATTGCCCTTAATCGACCTCTTTTTTGAGGGCCCTGCGTCAGGGGCGTTGCTTTCCGACCTTTCCCTCTTCTGGGGATGGTCGGCCACAACATCCGATCCGCAGGCCCTCAGCTTTCCTAGCCTTTCCTTCTCATATCTGCGAGCTTCCTCTGGGGATATGCCATCCCTGATATAAGCTGCGATACGCCGCTTGGATGCACCAGAGAAATATTGTTTTCTTCCCCTTCCAACCTTTTCAGGTCCTCCTCAGTTTGTTGGATAATAGGTCCAAGAGGATCCTGAGTATCCGTCTCCATCGGAGGGTCCGCCTTTTCATATCGCCGCGAGACATGACCACGACACGAACGTAACTTTGATCGTTTCAATCACCCCTTTATCCTCCGCCATTACCGGGGCCCACCACTAGGAGGTGACAGTGCGATTTTGGGCCCCTTATTTTATTTTTAATTGAAAAGTTGAAAAAGAAATTACTGTCTTGAAATTTTTTTTTTTCAAAAGTAAAACCTTTCGACACGAAAATATAGAACGAAATATTTACACTCTTTTCGTTTTAAAATTTTGTTAATTTATACTTTTAGGTTTCCGTATTTTATGAGCATAGTATTTTCATCACAATTACGAATTATGTTTCTTTGATAGAAGCTAGTCGCTATTGTTGATTTTTAATTTAGATGCTCTTACCGCGGATGCAAGGCTTTCCTCAAATTCATTTTTCCAAAAGCTTTGTTTTTGGAAACACTCTGTTATATTAATATTTATCTATATTATTATTAAATATTTTATATAAATATTAGTATATGTATTTTATTTTATATTATGTTTTAAAAATATAAAGAATAAAATTTTACTTACCTTTTCGCGGTATCATTAAGACCGAATGTGCATATGATCTCCAAAAAGAGAAATGTGCATGTGATGTGTAAACGAAGGCTGACATCAGATAAATTCTGATTAAAAGGAAATAGAAACCAAAGTATATCTATCTAAGAATTAGTTCGCCTCGTTTCATTCCGTTAGTTTTCGTTTGCTTTCCACTTCCAAATTCTTAAAATATTCTATTTTCATTTAGAAAAAGACAATAATAAGAGCTGTGAGAACAAGAAAGAAACAAAATATTGTAAACAAACGAGTGTATAAAAAATATCGAACTGAACTTCAATTAAATTAAGTTATTTTTATTCAAAAACAAAACAAAATTATTTTTTTAATTAAATAAGAGCAATATTATATTTTTCATTTCACAAAAGATAAGTAAAAAATTCGAATGTATGAAAGCAATGGAAACGAGTTTAAAATTTCATGCCCGCATCCATGTACCTGATACAGTAGAACGTAGTATCAGATAGTGATATAGAAATAAAACAATTTATATAGAAAAAAATGTGTATGCATATTGATTCATACTTTATGAAATATTATTACTCCCGATGCGTACGTATATATATATATTCATAGGAAATATGTATTTGAAATTTTTAAAGACAAGATTGAAAGAAAAACAAAAAAATTCATAACATATTACATGCTACAAAAAATTGACGAAATCTCAGTGAAACTTACTGCTATGGAGAATGGATACACTAACGTGTATCTAGCAATGCCGAAGCGATTTCTGAAAAATATCAGTAAATAAAATACGAATTGGTACGAGGAACGCAAATGGCGTTCTAAGCAGAAAGTACGATTTGGAGGTTTTTCTTAGAGTTAAAAATATCGATGTATGTCTGTTGTCAGAAACGCATTTAGGGAAGGGCTTGTATGTACTGGCTTATAGATGCTATAGTGCAACTCATCCTGGTAATCATTCAAGAGGAGGTAGTGCTATTTCAGTTGAGGAAAGCATAAAACATGATGAGGAATCTAAAATAGAGACTGAGGAGGTTCAACTTGTTGTGTTTAAAATTGAGTCTACCAAGTAGGACTTCAATGTTGGTTCAGTATATTGTCCACCGGGTATAACATTAAAAGGATATTTTTAAGCAACTGTCTTGCACCGGAGGAAACCGGTCCTTACTGGGAGGTTACTATAATGCCAAGCATGTAGATTGGGACTCTAGATTGACCTCAACTAAAGGTAGGCAACTAAGGAAAGCCATTCGGGAGTTGGGATGTTCCTATAATTCTACTGGCAGTGCGACATATCGTATACTGATGCTAAGAAAAGCCCAGATCTTATCGACTTTTTTACATCTAAGCTTTACATCTATTGTGTACTCTTTCCCTCTCCCAAAAATTCCTATGTGTATAGAAATGAAAATGAGAAGATATACTGCTTAACTCTTTTAGCTAAGGGAATTTTTCGTATAGAAATATTGGTAAGTGATTGCATTAGTGTGATTTAAACGGAGAGTCGAACTACTTTTTATATAGATGTACTTTGCTAGCCTCTAAAGCCATCGTATTAAAAAACTTTCAGAACAAGCACAGCTCCAATCGGACCCGATATAATAAATATATTTTTCTCAATCTAATTTCTAGAAAACAATCTGACATTATTTTTTATTTTGGAAAAAAAAAACTATTAAATGGAGGTAGACCCTTGTGTTGTTTAATATTTCTTAATTTTTATTTTCGAATGTCATAAGAGAAATGCATTTAATTGCTCAGTTTTAGATTCTTAACTGAAACTTTTTTTGTGTAATTGTAGATCTTTAATAATTATGAATTTTACTTTTGCAGATTTATTGGTTAAATAACATTAGTATACAGGGTATTTCACATAAGGTGGCAAAAAATTTTAGGAATGATTCTTTGATTATTTCCCAGCAAAAAATTGTATTGGGGAGGTGACGATATACTCATGTTAGCCTGCTTTAAGAGCTACAACCTCTTGAAAAAAAAGAATCAGATTTTCCTGCATATAAATAAATACTTATAACTACGAAACCATACGATATAAAGTAACCATTCGTAAGTCAAGAATTTAAGGGCTTTAATAGTGACTGAAATTTGATTTTTCCTAAAGTTCGAATGTTTGGTAATCTGAGTGTACATAAAATACAAAATAGTGACAATTTTTTGAGTTTCTACATTTTGTAAGAGCCTTTAAAATCTTGATATAGAAATTGTTTTTTTGCTATATCTCCTATGCCAACGGATTTTTCAACGTTTAATGCCAAAAATTTTCGTATCAAATTATCGGGTTAGAAAAAATTAAAAAAACAGGGAAAAATTGAAAAAAAAGTATACATTAATAGTTATCGATTCTACTCAATAATTATACTGTAAACCTATGTATGTATATATAAAGAAAATAACTTGAAAACACAAAAATGACAACTTCACATACTTAGGTGACCCTAAACAGAGAATCATAAGAAATCAAATTTAAAATTTTCTCATCGGCAAAGTTTTTTCTGTGTTTCAGTACAATTTTTCAGGTTTCTGAAAAAAAAAAAATTAAAAAAATTTTGATTTTTAAAATACGTTTTTTGGTTTGCAGTGAAAAAACAATACATCTAGCATTATATTTAAATAAAATAAGTATTTAATCATTTAACAAAACAAAAATTGAATTTTTAAGAATTGGCAGTCTTATCAAAAAATTTTGCATACTTGACTTGAAATGTAATAACTAAACGTCATTTTTGGACTTTCAAGCCAAAATAGTAAAAACACAGCTTGTGTTTGGTGATAATGTCTCAGGCTGTCATATAATTGATGTATATGTTACGAGGTGTGGGTTGTGGAGAATTAAAAGTGTACTGGAAAAGTCAAAAACAAATTAAATGTTAGAAATGTCAAAGTTCCACCGATTTGTATTGTTGCGCCGTAGAGATAAGACAGGCATGTATATTAGATAATAGAATAATTATTGTAATTTCTATTTTATAATATCAGACATATAAGACTGAAATTATATCTTACTCTACATTTAAACTTAATAATTTCTACAAAAATCATAATGAAAAAAATGATCAGATCGCTGCTCAAAACTTTCGCAAAAAATTTATTGTCGCTATTGTATTTTAAGTTGAAATCAGAACAGGAGCGATTTCCCGCGGCGAAATGTGAGATTTCATATATTTTCACGAACTTATTTTACCGCTCGCTGTTTTTTTTTTGACATTATCTGTTTCGATGTGCATGTCACATTATATGGAATTTTGTCTTTCCGCTCTTGTTCTGGGTTAACAACGGAAACCGTCCGCCGTTGCCGTCCACCGCTTTGGTTATGTTCTTACCAATATTAATTACTACAGACACAGCCATATATATTTTGAGGAGCCAAATGTCAGAAATAGCAGAAATAGCATTTTTGAATGAGGTTGCAGAAATCTAAAATTATAAAAATTAAAAGTAGATTGAATTTAAAGTTATTGCATTAAACATAATATTATTATTTTATTGATAAAAAATTCAAATACTTGCAAACTAATATAAAAGGTTACATTGCTTATAAATTTTATTTTTGTTGAAAGCTAGTTTTATTGTACATACATACTTAAATTTTTTATACATACTTTATTAGTTATTTTAAATTGAATGTAATTTTAGCACAAGGAGTTTTGAAAATGAGTATAACTTCGGCAGCAGGTATAATTTCGCTGTTGGATGAATCGCAGCCGGAAATAAAAATATTTGCGTTAAAAAAATTGGATAACATTGTTGATGAATTTTGGCCAGAAATATCGGAATCCATTGAAAAAATAGAAATGCTTCATGAAGATCGAGGTTTTCCAGAAAATAAATTAGCTGGCGTTGTAGCTTCAAAAGTTTTTTACCATCTTGGTTCATTTGAAGATGCTTTGACTTATGCATTAGGAGCGGGCGATTTATTCGACGTTAATTCTAGAAATGAATACACAGAAACCATAATTGCGAAGTGTATTGATTTTTATATAGCACAAAGGGTGGCCTTTATTGAAAATAACAAAGAAGCAAAATCTGTAGATTCTCGCTTGGAAGCAATCGTAAATAGAATGATTCAACGTTGTTTAGATGATGGTCAATATAGACAAGCTTTAGGGATTGCATTGGAAACACGAAGGATGGATATTTTTGAAGCTGCTATAATGAAATCAGATGATGTTAATGGAATGCTAGCTTACGCATATCAAGTAACAATGTCTTTAATTCAAAATAGGGGATTTAGGAATGAAGTATTACGTTGTTTGGTTGATTTATATAGAAATTTATCTACCCCTGATTACGTTAATATGTGCCAATGTTTAATTTTCTTAGAGGATCCTTTGGCTGTTGCAGAAGTCTTAGATAAATTAACTAGATCATCAGTTGAACATAATAATTTAATGGCTTATCAGATTGCATTTGATTTATATGAGTCGGCAACCCAGCAGTTTTTAGGGCAAGTTTTGCAAGCTCTAAAGGCAACTGCACCAATTCCGGGGGCTTTGCCGTCTACTTTTAAACCACAAGGTCAAAATGAGTCGAAAAGTGATGAAGAAAAAGCAAAGGAAAAAGAACAACGGGATCTGCTTATTGGAGATGCAAAAGAAAGTGAACATTCAACCGACGGAATTGATGGAACTGATATTAAATTTAAGCGAACTGTTGACTCGCTAAACGATTCTGAAAAAGTTCACCAAAAAAATATTGAAAAATTAATTTCCATTCTTTCTGGTGAAATCTCAATTGGACTGCAATTACAATTCTTGATAAGAAGTAACCATGCCGATTTGCAAATACTACGCTCTACAAAGGAAGCAGTCAGAGTGTCAATCTGTCATACAGCTACAGTAATTGCAAACGCTTTTATGCACAGTGGGACTACAAGTGATCAGTTTTTAAGAGATAACTTAGATTGGTTGGCAAGAGCAACAAACTGGGCTAAACTAACAGCGACTGCTTCGCTTGGAGTAATTCATCGTGGACATGAGGCTGATTCTTTGGCATTAATGCAGAGTTATCTTCCAAAAGAAGCAGGTCCAAGTTCAGGATATTCTGAAGGTGGAGGACTATATGCCCTTGGTTTAATTCATGCTAATCATGGCACAAACATAATAGATTATTTATTACAACAATTGAAAGATGCTCAGAATGAAAATGTTCGCCATGGAGGCTGCTTGGGTTTAGGACTGGCTGCGATGGGTACCCATAGGCAAGATTTGTATGAACAACTCAAATTTAATTTGTATCAAGATGATGCAGTTACTGGAGAAGCTGCAGGTATGTTCTTTTGAATAAACACATATGTATATGTTATAAGTAGTGAAAATATGAACTTTTTTTTTCAATTTTTATCAAAGGCATTGCGATGGGAATGGTCATGCTCGGTTCCAAGAACTCTCAAGCCATTGAAGATATGGTGTCATATGCACAAGAAACACAACATGAAAAAATTTTAAGAGGTTTAGCGGTTGGCATTTCGTTGACTATGTTTGCTCGATTAGAAGAGGCTGACCCATTGGTGACAAGCTTGTCAACAGACAAGGATCCTGTATTAAGACGATCTGGCATGTATACGATAGCTATGGCATATGGTGGTACCGGTAGTAATAAAGCCATTAGAAAACTTTTACATGTAGCAGTTTCTGATGTGAATGATGATGTCCGTAGAGCTGCTGTGACAGCCATTGGTTTTATTTTATTTAGAAACCCAGAGCAGTGTCCTTCAGTTGTCTCATTACTAGCAGAATCTTATAATCCACATGTGCGATATGGAGCTGCAATGGCTTTAGGTATAGCTTGCGCTGGAACTGGTCTAAGAGAAGCTATTTCATTACTAGAACCAATGGTTAAGTTTGATCCAGTGAATTTTGTCCGCCAAGGCGCTTTGATAGCATCAGCAATGATATTGATCCAGCATACAGATCAAACTTGCCCGAAAGTTTCTTTCTTTAGGCAGCTTTATTCTGAAGTTATCACCAATAAACATGAAGATGTAATGGCAAAATATGGTGCAATTTTGGCGCAAGGAATTATAGATGCAGGTGGACGTAATTGTACTCTCAGTTTGCAAAGTCGTACGGGACACACCAATTTACAAGCAGTTGTCGGTGCTTTAGTTTTTACTCAATATTGGTACTGGTTTCCACTTGCGCATTGTTTATCGCTTGCTTTTATCCCTACTTGCTTGATAGGCTTGAACTCTGATTTAAAAATGCCAAAAATGGAATTTAAATCAGCTGCAAAACCTTCACTTTATGCTTATCCGGCTCCACTTGAAGAAAAGAAATCGGAGGAAAGAGAAAAAGTTGCTACAGCAGTTCTTTCAATAGCCGCTAGACAAAAACGGCGAGAAATTGCAGATAAGAAAGATGACGATAAAATGGAAGTTGATGAAGAAGTAAAAGACGTATTAAAAGAATGTAAAGATGAAAAGTGTAAGAAAGAAACTGATAAGAAAGATGAGAAAACGACGACAGAAAAGAAAAAGGATGATAAAAAAACTGACGAAAATAAATCTCTAGACAAAAAGGAGGATGAGAGAAAGGATGAAAAAAAAAAGGAACCTGAGCCAGCATTTGAAATTTTGCAAAATCCCGCACGAGTAATGAGACAACAATTAAAAGTTATTAGTGTGCCGGAAGGTCAAAGTTATGTTGCCTTGAAAGATGTAACAATAGGGGGTATAATAGTACTACAGCATACTGGAAAATCTGAACAAGAGTTGGTTGAACCAGTTTCTGCTTATGGGCCCAAAAATGAAGATGTTAAAGAACCCGAAGCACCAGAGCCATTTGAGTACATTGAAGAATAAGTCATTATTTAGTATATAAATTTTTCCATCTACAATAGATTTTATATACATTTATTTTTTGTTTATAATAAATCGTGTCTAACAGCAATAATGTAATTTAAAAGTATGAATTAGTTTTCATTTCATTTATATTTGATTTTACTAAAAAAAAATAAACTCCTATTTTAATACATACTCGATACTTTAAGTAATACAGTAACCCCTTAAATACATACAGGATAATTTAAGTAATAATTTATTCTTACTAATGTTTCATAGAAATTGATTTTCTTCCCTAATCGTATATCTTGCCCACTTTTTTGCATCACAACCCAATAAAAATTTATAAAATTTTTTTTTAAGTATATAATAAAAAAACTTCCTTTTATTCGAAATAAAATACTTTTTATTTTCTTCTGAAGAAAATCAGCTTTGATAAAGTACGTATGTAGGGCACGAAAAATATTTTATTTCCGTCGGTATAAAATGGAGTTTTCTTTTCATACACCTAAAAAAAAAATTTATTTCGGAAAAATTATCAACCATTGCAGAATTTTTTGATATATAAATGTGCTTTTAATATAATAACAATTTATTATGAAACGAGAAAAAATAGAGGTGACCTTGTCAACTCTGTGATACCCGTACGAATTCTCCAGTGTGCGAATAAATATGCCATAAATGACTATGGGACAGACTATGACTTTAAATTGCCGTATTACCATGTTAATTTATGCACAATTTCAGTAGTGTTTTTCAAAATACTTTGTGTGCCAAACTACTTTTGAAGTTGTATGGCAGTTACCACTAATATATTCGCTTGTGTGAAATTCCAACACAATAGCTTTTATAGTTTCTAAGATATAGCCAAATAACTTTTGAAGTTGTATGGCAGGTACCAGAAGGAGCCAAGTAATTTCAACGACTTTTATGAGACACATTGGGCCTACTAATATATTCGTTTGTGTGAAATTTCAATGCTACAGCTTTTATAGTTTCTGAGACATAGCCAAATGACTTTTGAAGTTATATGGCAGGTACTAGAAGGAGCCAAGTAATTTCAACGACTTTTATCAGACATATTGGCCCTACTAATATATTCGTTTGTGTAAAATTTCAATACCACAGATTTTATAGTGTCTGAGATATAGCAAAAATAAATTTTGAAGTTATATGGCAGGTACCGGAAGGAGCTAAATAGTTTCAACGACTTTTATCAGACATATTGGCCCTACTAATATATTCGTTTGTTTAAAATTTCAATGAATTTAGTTCAATTAGTTTTTGAATTATCGCTGGGACGGACGGACAGACAAAGCTAAATCAACTCCGAATTCGACGCTGATCAAAAACATACACTTGAGTCTATATCTAAGACCGTTATTTCTTACCGTTACAAACGGTAAGGCAAATTTAGTATACCCTTCGAACATACGTTGGTACAGATATAAATATTATTTATAGCAAGTTGTAACTGCAGTTTTTTAATTCTGTATACACTAAGTCCTCGAGATGTATCTTTTTTTTTGACAAATTTTATTGATTTTTGAATAAAAATCAATACCATTGAAGTGAAGTGATATAATATCAACTCAATCAGATTTTATTTTATTTATTTTTGTGACAAAATTGAATTTTTTTGGTTTCGTTATCATATTTTGCTGTTTTTTTTATACTTTGCTACCTTTTTTTGAAAAACAGATGAACTATATTATAAAATAGTTTGCCTAATTCACCTTTTGTTTCCATACTTTTTTTTTTATTCCTCAAACGACAATTCGAGTTACAAAATAAATTCTGGGACCAAAAATGTCGTATCACGAGGACTTAGTGATATGTGTTTATGCATTTGTTTTAACACTTCGATATGAAAATCACAAGCGTTGTTGGTAATTGGCTAATAGCTGATTCTACATATTTACATATTATATAAACATATAACGTTGAAATGTAAAGAAAATGGCTCGTAAATTCCATAGAAAAATTATTCTATATACAAAAAAATTAGTTCCGACTGGAAGACTATTGAATTGTAGAAGAAAATTTTATTTAATTTTTTAAATTTTAATTTATATTTCAATTATTAATATTGATTTTAATTAAAATATTAAAATCATATAATATTTCCAGATGGCTTTTTGAGAATATAATAAAAAATGAGAATACATCCTCTAAAGTTGAGCAAAAGAAAAAAATATATATTCGGAACATAATTTTAATACATATAGTATTAAAAATATATTACGCTCCGTAGACAAACGTAGAGTAATATTTTGTTCTTTTAAATTCTTCAACCTTTATTAAAATATATGTTTAAAATAAGCGATTTGTTAGAACTTTTGGAGAAACTGCTTTAAATCTTCTACTTTCACAGGTGTGATAAAGACAAGTGTTTATCGTATCTGTAAAAGTAGGAGAATCAATAACTAAGAGATCTTCTTAAAAGACACGCAAGACAAAATTCTTAGTTTTGTTTTCTATTCTATGTTTCGTGTATTGAATCTGTTTAAAAAGATTTTCCACTTGTTTTGAATGACCTAGACTCACTTAAAGTATATAGTTTGCCATCATATGAGGTTGAGTCGCTGTTGACTGGCGTGTATGTATCGCGTGCCATAGTGGTCCTTTCGTGGCTTATCGAATTTTTCTTTACACATCACTAAGAGGCACTCGCCTTAACAACGAGGGAGCCGTTGATTGTGCCGTTTTGGCGAAATCTAATTAACAGTTGTCTGATATAAAAAATGAATAACGATTTCTAGCAAAAAATTTATTTAACTATTTTGTTTTGTGTTGAAGACAATATTTCAATAATTCTGTCTAGTTTTTCATTTTGCCGCTTTTCTAAGGCTTGAAGTTCCAAGCGAAAATTGTTTTCCATTTCATATATTACTTTGTCTATATATTTTTTAAGTTCATCTATTTTGTATGAGCAATGGCTATCATCTCTATTACTTTCTTGAAGAAAATTTTTTTTTGTATTACTTAAGAGCGATTTAAAATTTTCTAGATCGGATGAGCACTTCAAGAATCCAGTTGTACCATCTAAGTTGTTAAAATTTTTAGCTGGAGCTCCATGAAGGAAACTTTCTATAAAGGTTTTACATTCCATAGCTTTTGGAGTTAATTTATGCTTCGAACTTGATAATATTGATTTCACATTGTCTATATTTATGTTATTCAAAGACGGAGTCATATCAACAAGTTGACCGTTGGAAATAACCACTTGAATTCCATAAACCCAAATTTCCGGCACGCGTGGTATAAGCTGCAATATTATTTAGTATAATTGACCAAGGTTATTTGAAGAATTAAAACAATATAAGCAAGGGAATATTAGGGGATAAGTTTTTTAGATATTTTAAGAAAGAGTTTCATATAGATCTTGTTAATGTTTATTTCTCTTTACTCCATTTGGGAGAATTAGATCCACTTGACATTTTCTTTTTTAGTTTTTGAATTTATTAGTGAATATGATTAAGTTCTTTTTTAGTTTTTAAGTACTTATTTTGAATTTAGGTAATTTTCAATAATTTACTGATTTTTCATTCTAAGAACAATTCAATCCATTAGTTTGGTTTATATTATTCATGCTTTCGAACAAGAGCATTATAAATCTCAAACTATTAAGAACTACATATTAAAACTATTGAAAATTTAAAAATCTAAAAGTATTGAAAATCTTCAACTACACTGATATCTACTTGATATCATATTAAACTTTGACGAAATGGCTAACGTTAATGTTACTTTAATCTCATTACTAATAAACTACTTTATTATTAATTTACCCTAAGTTAATATCTATTTATCTCAGTAGGTACCTGTTGGTAATATTGAATTTTAACAAATTTTAAAGAAATCGTAAAGGGAAAGATGACCACTTCAGAAAGTGGATAAATATACCTATATTTTCGTATAAAAACATTATGAAGAAGTTACCTTAAGTAGAAAGTGTGATATTTTCTTGGTAATTTTGATGTCGAATCTATAAACTTTCATTTAATCGAAATCATCCAAAAATTCGCCTATAAAAGTATTGTAATATTCATTATGAATATCCACGAACATTTCCACTTTCTGGCAATCTGTCACTAATGTTAGGTAATTTATGTAGTAAGCCGAATGTATCTCGAATTGTATATTGCAATTTATTGCATACAAAATTAATTTACCCTAAGTAAATATCTATTTATCTCATTAGGTACCTGCTGGTAATATTGAATTTTAACAAATTTTAAAGAAATTGTAAAGGGAAAGATGACCACTTCAGAAAGTGGCTAAGTATACCTATATTTTCGTATAAAAACATTATGAAGAAGTTACCTTAAGTAGAAAGTGTGATATTTTCTTGGTAATTTTGATGTCGAATCTATAAACTTTCATTCCATCGAAATCATCCAAAAATTCGCCTATAAAAGTATTGTAATATTCATTATGAATATCCACGAACATTTCCACTTTCTGGCAATCTGTCACTAATGTTAGGTAATTTATGTAGTAAGCTGAATGTATCTCGAATTGTATATTGCAATTTATTTTTGTTAAATTTAGTTGATTATCATCTTTATTATCTTGTGGCTCTTGTAAATGTACTGACTGTTCAAAACTTACAATGTCATCGATACTTGGCCTAAAGTGATAAAACATTTATATATGAGCTCACTCAAGAACCAAAAATGGAAGTTGCCTATTTTCTGCTTTACAATAGTTTTCAACGGTCTTAATAACCAATGAGTCTCCAATATTTTTTCCTCGCAATAAGCACCAGTTAGTTGATATTTTAACTTTTTCATCCATTTCGTATTTCAAACCAAATTGTTAACATTTAACAAAACAACTCTGACATAATGACAGCAAGACTCCTGTAAGTATTGTGAATGTCAAACTTACATTACAATAAAAGGGCTGCGACGATCGATACGGAAACGATTAAGTGTAACAAGAAAAAAATATAAACTTACTTGTCATATTATACAAAAATTGATTTGAGAATTATTGAAACGTTTTTCACGTTTTTCACGTGAATTATTCACATTATATGTGAAAAAATAACTATTTTAAAATTTTTTCTGAAGAAATCATTTTGATTTTTTTTTGTATTATTAAATTTTGTCTTCATGTTTATAATAAAATCCAAGGGTGTAGTTGTGTATTTTCAATACGAAAAATATGTATGAGAACAAAATATAAAAACAAAATAGATCTTGGAGATCCCTTTCAAAACAAATCTTAGAGAAAATTTTTGTAGATGGCACCTCTGACTCATAATTTATTAATATTTAGCCTTATAGTCATAAAGTAATCTAAAAGTAAGTACATCAAATAACAAGGAGGTACAAATACATAACGCGACTAGAATATTACTAGAATTCGACGTTCTGGAAAATCATAAAAATTTTCTAATAAATCGACAATTATTTAAGAGTTAAACTTTTTCATTTTGCTAAAAAAAATGAAGCTCTTAAAGATTAAAATTTTAGCAGACAGAGGAAACCATTATACAATTACAAAATGTTTAATTTTATTTCAAGGTTCATCAAAACAATATTTTTATTTCAGTTTCCGATTTCGTTCCTATATCATAATATTCCTTTAAGAAATCCGTTCTAATGATTAATAGCCTTCTTCCACATGATTCAAATGTTGACTTATTTTACTAAAATAATGAATTGTCAAAAACATGCGAAATTCAAATTATGTATAAAATATTTTCTTTTACGTAAAATAGGTAGATGGAATCCCATTAAAGACAAACGGAAAGATATGAAGGCTTAGTAGCTAGTGAACCCAAATAATCTATTTCCCGTTTACTTGTTTTATAGTTTGTATTTTCCTTTTTTTTCTCTGGCTTCTTCATATCAGATATTGTGCTTAACTTTTTTTTGTCAAAAAAAACTTTTCTGTATTCGTATATAATTTGTTCTTTTTCGTGACAAAAATTAAGAATATTTGAGTTAAATATCAATAAAAGATAACTCTCCAGGCTAGTTTTAAAATAACTGAATTAATTTTTAACGTTGAGCTGCCTTCATATACGTTAGTTAAAATTAATATGACTTGTTAAAAATAAATAATAATTTTTAGTAAAAAATACGGTCTCGAAACGAAGCTTATTATTACCGACCGTATTGTATATATAATAGGTAGATGATGTGATGTCAACAAATTTCACATATCGAGTTTTCGGTGGGAACGCACTTCTCCATGGTAGGGAAGTGTAAATAAACTATTTTTAGCAACCTGTCGGTCTGTCGCTCTATGTGTGCACGCGTGTATCTCAAGTTCGGCTGAACCGATTTTGATGAAATTTTATATGTTAGTTTATCTCGACCATGGCACGGATTGATCTACTTTTGGAATGTATACTTCTGGAAGAAATCAGGTGTCAGGAACTGGACGTTTACTACGGGCCAAATATACATTTTTGCTTATATAAAGAAAAATAATCAACCGATTTCATTGAAATTTAATATTTAAATTCTTCGTATTGAAACAAAGAACACATAAACTTTTTGGAAAGGTCAGGGCTCGAGAACTGATCTGCGGGCCGATTTTGCATTTTCACCATATATACGAAACGAATTGATCGAATTTCTTGAAATTTGATATTTTAGTTCTTGTTGTAACTCTAGTAAGAGCCAAATTTACATATTTCTAGGTACGTTAACTATAAGCTTACTAAAGTCCAAAAACTAGACAATACACATTGCTGCCGGTTATATGCTGATCACATCAGATTTTTTTGTATTAGGATAACTGAGTACTGACAGAATCATTGATGAAATTCGTTGTGGTTAACTCTTTAACACGAAGCTCTTTGAGCTTTCCTACAAATAATTTGAGCTAAAAGACTGACTGACAGAATTTTAATATTTTGACCAAAGTATATCTACTAATAAGTAATTCGACTCGTTCCATTCCGTTAGTTTTCATTTGCCTCTTGCTTCCAAATTCTTAAAATATTCCATTTTTTTTAGAAATAGACGGTAATAAGAGTTGTGTAAGCAAGAAAGAAACAAAATATTGTAAACAAACGAGTGTATCAAAAAAATTGAACTGAAATAAAATTAAATTAAGTTACGTAAAAATTTTGTTATTTTTATTTATGATAATAACAAAATTTATTTTTCATTTTATTAAAGTTAGGTTAAAAATTCAAATGTATGAAAGCAAAAGAATTTGAAATTTCATGTATGAATGTACACATGCACGTATGAATGTAGTGACTTAGAAATAAAGTAATTTATAAAGAAAATAAGGTGTATGCATACTGATTACTTTATGAAATATATGTAATTATTACCGATTCATGGGAAATATGTTCTAAATTTATTAAGATTGAAATAAAAATAAAAAAATTAAAGATAATTTATTTATTTTATTTATTAATAATTATCAATTAAAAATGCTTAACACTAAAAATTTGTTTTATATCAAATTGTTTTACAGTCTTATTAAAACTTTTTATTATGTGGTAAATTCTAATTCTAATATACAGTTTAATGAAATATGTTTTGTCGGACTTCTAACAACATTCATAGTTGAAATTATTTTTTAAGTGTTCATATATTTTACATTCTAAATTTTTTTTGAATGTTTAAAAGTTTAAAAGTTTAATAAAAGTATTTTCTAAAATCTTTAAATTATCCATGAAATTCTTGGATGGTTTATAAAAAACTGTAAAATATTTTTTTTTTCACAACTATTTAAATTTTTTTTCAATATTATACGTCTTTTCAAAATTTATTTTTATTATTTTTCAAAATTATATTATATTATGAATACATAAATTATAAAATTATATTATAATATGAATACACCTTTTTTGCCACCTTGTACTGGAATGAATTACAGTGTCGCTTTTAAAATTCTTAATATGTTTCACTTTATATACGAGCAAATAATAAAGTGTCGCCTTTCAAAATACATTATAAAAAAACAGGTTCTTATGTGTATAAAAATGAAAATAGGAAGGTATACTGCTTAACTCTATAACTTTTTTGTATACAAATATTGGCGAGTGATCGCATTAGTGTGGTGTAAACAGAGAGTCGAACTACTTATTAGTAGTTATACTTGGATTTTGACTTAGCAAAAGTCATTAATTTCATGTCAGTATAATTATTATGGCCAAAGCAAACCAATAACCTTGCTGATGACATTCAAAGGTCAAATTGAAAATTTCCGATAGGATTATAGGCCCAGAGTTGAGGAGTGAAATAGAGCACAGAAAACACCTAGTAACATTATTGCTAATAGAATAATAAAAAGAGTTTGTAGAATGGCAGGAAAATACGTAATAGTTATGGTTCGCCATGGTGAATCTGAATGGAACGAGAAAAATCTTTTCTGTGGATGGTATGATGCAAATTTGAGTGAAAAAGGTTTGATATTTGATTAGCGATATGATACATGCTCTAATTTAATATTTAAAGGCAAGCAAGAAGCTGTTGCAGCTGGAAAGGCAGTAAAAGATGCTGGTTTAAAATTTGACTGTGCTCATACATCTGTTTTAACTCGTGCTCAAGTTACATTAAATTCAGTTTTGGAGGGTTCTGGTCAAACTGGTATTCCGGTTCATAAAACATGGAGATTAAATGAACGCCACTATGGGGGTTTAACTGGTTTGAACAAGGCTGAAACTGCGGCCAAATACGGAGAAGAACAAGTTCAAATTTGGAGAAGAAGTTATGATACTCCACCACCACCAATGGAACCAGATCATCCGTATTACAATGCTATTGTAAAAGATTCACGTTATAGCGATGGACCTAAGTTAGAAGAATTTCCAATGTTTGAGTCTTTAAAACTAACAATTGCCCGTACTTTACCATATTGGAATGATGTTATTATACCACAATTAAAGGAAGGCAAGAAAATCATTATTGCTGCTCATGGCAATAGTTTAAGGGGCATTGTTAAACATTTAGATAATATGTCTGATGATGCTATTATGGGGCTTAATTTACCAACAGGTATTCCTTTTGTGTACGAACTGGATGAGAATTTCAAACCAGTGGTCTCAATGAAATTCTTAGGCGACGAGGAAACTGTTAAAAAAGCTATGGAAGCTGTAGCGGCTCAAGGAAAAGCCAAATAAAAATATTGTTTTTTATGTTAAAAAACTGTGAAAATTTGTTATAGATGAATAAAACTAAAATATAATTGATATTGTATTTATGAATAATTTAAGTATGTATTTCAAAAAACTGACAAAATATTAATATTAAAAGAACAAATACTGGGAGGATATTAATATTACCTTTATTTGTATTGTTTCATTTATATATACATGTACATATATATTTTTTTTAGTTTTATTATATAAATAATTTTGTCTTATAACTACTATTATAATAATCCTAAAAGTTATTTTCATATTCTATCTAATACAATATAATACCATCTTAAAGTAACTTTCATAAAATACGCATTTATTGTATGTCTCATACAATAAATGTATGTATTATAAATGCAGTTAACCTTAAAATATTAACAGTAGAAAGAAAAACTGTAAGTGAAACCATTTATAATTAATAATTACTAATTTTGCTGGCATTAGGTTCACATTTATGATTTCAAAATGTGAAGTTAAAAATTTTGAATATTAGGGTATTTTAAGAATTTAAATGTAACCTATTAAAATAGGCAATTGTTAAAATTAACCTTAATTTGAAATGCTAGAGTATTAAAAATCTTACTTTGGCTTTCAAATTACTGGGCAAATAATAAAAAATTTAATCACTATGAGTACAATATTTTTTTATTAAAATTTAAGTACATTTTTATATTTTACTTAAATAATGTAGTTATTAAATAATCGGTATTTGTTTTGATCCAACGAAGCAAAGTTTTGTTGTGTTTATACAATATTTTTAGCAATATTAAAATTTGACAAATAATACTATAATTAAGTTACATATGTATGTAAATGTAAATGCTAGAAAATAATTTTGAATTTAATTTAAGCATCCCAATGATTAATATCCCGAAATTAAATTATAGTAAAAGTGTGCAATGATAGTTTTAAATATAAGTAAAGTTCTATCGTATCTAGTTAAAAATAATCCTTTTTTAAATAAAGTCTCTAATTAAATTTTGAAGTTAAATGTGAAAAACATACGTGCATAGGTATATATGTACATATGTATGTATGTATAAGGTATACGTGAATTATAAAATTGTAAGTTTAAAAATCGCACATTACAATTTTCCTAGAAATTTTGTTTTTAATATTAGTACATACATATATATGTACACACATATATAAAAGTTTCTTAGTAAGGCTTCGTTTTTTCATTTTTTAATAGCTTATAATTTAGGCGTATTGAACCAGAAGAATTGGTTCGTTGAAACTTAAATTTAGGGCCTGATCGTCTATCTCGCTATTTTACTCGGAAAATGAGAAGAAAGTGAGTAACTATCATATTGTATAATGTAAATTTACGTGTATAATGTAAATTTACAGTGAGAAGAATTATTCCGATTGCGTATCTCGTGTTATTTTAAATTGTGTACAAAAGTTTTCACTTTGTTTTTGAAAGTGAAACATACCGGTCGATAATTTGAGAAAAAATGCAAAAATCCAATTAAAAAAATGAGTTATCTTATTGGAAAAGTGAAACATCCATTAGAATATACTGAAAATTCTGATTTGAAAGTGAATAAAACGTGGCTGTTCTGCTTTTTGCGTACGAATCTTGGTTTAGCAAAACATCGAGGAAATTTTTTTATATTCTCTAAACTGAAAATAAATCCATGAAAAAGTGGTGAATAATGAATTTTTTTTGCAATTTGGAAGTTTTAAAATAGTATGATTTAATTACACTTTTGATTTGATTACATTAATTATTTGTTCGTAGGCTTGTATGTATGTTTGTATGTACATAATATGTACATATTCATGTTTAGTTTTGATTTTTTTTTTTATGGTGTAAGAAAATTAAACCACGAATTAATACTATAGAGAGGGTAGATGTTTCGGCCAGTACGGAAGGAAGACCTAAAATTAATATTGTAATTAGGTGAGGTACTTATTCTTCTCATTAATCTTTTGGAGCAGTGTGGCTTTTCCTCCGGTTTGAAATTTTAGATGAATTAATTAAATCTTCGCTGTATAAGATATTATAAGTAATAGAGATATTATAGTTATACGTAGATATTATAGTTTAAATTGTTCTAAATTTGTAAATTTCTTTGAAAATAAAATAAAAACAAGATGAATTATAATTTTTGTTTCTTTAACCAGTTTACGATTGTTTTAAAATTTTTATCCATCCAATCGATGTTGATTTGAACTTGTTCGACAGCTTGTTGGATAGATCTACTTGTTTCGTTATAGTGGTTTTTAATGAAATCTTCCAATTCACGTAACATAAATTTTGAATTCATTTTCCTTGTTAAAAATTTTATGATTCCGTTTAAATTAGACATTGTACTTCCAAGACTAAAATAGATTATGTAAAATCGTTACAAAAAACTTTTTGTAATAAGAACAAATATTACTATTTTGTAGCAATTTATTTAAATCTTACTAAATTTTTAGCTCACTCCAGTTAGTTCTTACGAAGTCAAACACAATTTGTTGGCCTACAACGTTGTTTGATACCGCAGCAAAAACTCTATAGACATCCTGTTTTCTAATTTCATGTCCTAACAACCCCTTTCTTAAATATCGGGCCAATATCCAAGGCTCCTTACTACAACCCAATGCACTTAGTAGAATTTCTTTTTCGCTCGATACTTTGGAATTAATATAACGTTCAAAGGCAAAATTCCATTCACTTTCAGATCCATATTGAATGGCTGTACAGTAAACAATGTTTCGGAGATTTGGTGATATACTTTTTATTTAAATTTCATTTGGAAAAATAGTTACATACATAAGTGTGTTATTTGAGGACAATCAATATGCTTGTTAGAAAAAACTTTACTCATAATATGCAAATTGGCTATCAATCTATTCTTTGAGAAATTTAAATCGGTTTATTATCGGTAATAAAATAAATTGATATTCAATCTGCATTTATATAAGAATTTGATCATACGATTACTTACGGATTACTCCTATCTGGGTTAGGATCAAACATCCAATTTTGGAAATTTCGCCGAGAAATAGAGACACAGTCATCTTGCCCCAAATGACATGCTGTACTTAGCACTTCAATTCTTTTAAAATGTGCTATCATATCATCTTGATCTTCAATTTCATTAAAACTCACTTTTCTGTATACCATATCTAATAGTTGTAGTAAATAATTCTGGAAAAATAATGTAAATTTTGCTACTTTAATTTTTTATAAATATGTAGGTACATACATACATATGTACATAAGTATATACTTTTTCAAACTTGCATATTTTACAAGTAAGTTTATATGTGCAAACATATTCAAACATATAAAAATAGTTACAACATAACATTTAATATATTCATACTACCGTAGGCATTTTGTATTATCGTACAACTTACTTGCATTAAATAATATTCAGCTTGTCTCTCGAACATAGAGTCAATAAAATTAAAACCAACAACAGCTGCTTTCCACGGCACATAATCCTCTTCGTGTTCTAAATATTTTGTTATATTTAAAGCAATTTCGTAACTCAAATATCCTCCCCTCGCTAAGTTCATGGCATCATCAATCAATTGAGCGCGGTTCGATGGCGAAATTTCTTTGAATTTTGTTTTATTTAACAAGTGTTCTGTGATTGCTTTCCAATTAGAGTTATCGTAGTTAACGCGGTAATATCCTGTTTGTTGAATATTGAATATATACCATTTGGATTGAGCTAATGTTTGGTTTTCTATCTCATAAATTTTTGTTCTTGGAATCCAATGTGATGGACTTGTTTTTTTAAAATTTAGTTCTTCTGCCGTTGTGAAAGTTAAAGGAACCCACCATAATAAACTACCAGATTCTTTTCTGTCTTTATGAACATATACAAATCGTTCTTGCTCAATTCGAATCAAATATTGGGGATAAGCTTTTGATACACTTAATACAGGAAATCCCGTTTGCAATGTCCATGTATCCATAATTTCTTTAACGTCTATACTTTGGTCTAAAATAGAATTTTCGACGGCCTCTTTAGTAAGAAAATGCCACAAATCGTCCTGCTCTGCAGCTTTGTACGCCCTGTAAAATTATATGTTTACATATGTAGGTATGTATGTATGTAGATAAATTTGTAGTCCATATTAAATGTACACATGTACATATAAGTTTGTGCTTAAAGAACAATAACTAATTACTTCATAAAGGATCAAGGGAAAAGGAGTAGGATGTAATTTTTAAGTTGTATTTTCAATTAGTATGCCGAATAAGTTCTGAAATTTAGAATATAATTTGATTTAAATTAAAATGTTTGTGTTCCCAAAATCAAACTATTGCTTACATTTCTCAAAATGCACATAAAAAAGTTTGTAGCATATAATCGACTGCAAGGAATTGACTGATTTAGCAAAAATGTTGCACAAGATTATGAAAATACTCTAAAACACTTCTTTTAAATTTTAAGGACGCTAACAAGCTTTTAGCTAACACGCCTAGAAAATTGAATATTTTGCGTTTAGCAGATATTCACTTTTTCTAATCTTAATTTGCAGGAAAATTAGTTCGTCAATTCCAATCGGCTCCCTGATATTTCCCGAAAAATTATAAGTTCACTGTCTTAACAGTCTGAATTCAATTATGAAATTTCAGTAAAATTGGTTGATTATTACTTTGAATATAGGTAGAAATGTAAATTAATTAAAAGTCCATAGTAAACGTCCAGTTGTTAATCACTGATTTCCATAAAAAGTTAGGTGACCTCTCGTACTGCCAAACGAGACTAATTTATTAAATTTCAAGTTTAAGTTTATTAAATGTGTTGAATATTTTCTAAAAATTATGAAAAGTGTAAAATTCGTTCGTAGTACAGGTCCAGTTCCTAAAACAAAACATATGTATCCTAAAAGATAAGTTAACTCAGATATAAATTTTTGTGAAAATAGATTCAGCCGATTTTGAGATACAGACGTGCACAGACAGACTGACAGGCAGACATATGTATCTTCCTAACAGTTCGTAAAAAGCGTAAATACGTTGCCATAAAAAAGTGTGTTCCCGACGAAAACTCGACATGCGAAACTTGGTGCCGTCGTAAAACCTCAATTGTCGCGTGCAAGCCGGTCGGTTTATTCTATTATATGTATGTATGTATGTAGGTATTCGCAATAGTTCAGAAATTTTACTACAGAAATTAGATTTTTCTAATTTTGTAGTTAGTAAATTAATCTAATCAGGAAATCTAATGTTTTTGTAGCTAAATTGGTCTCTTGAAATTTTGCTGTAGAAAAAAAAATAAAAGTTTTTTTCTGTATTTTTCAGAAACATTTAAATACATAGGAATAGTTTTCTTTTAATTTTATGAAGCTTGAAATCGTTCATATGTTTTAAAAAATACTTACATCTCATTTAAATATTTCTTGAGGCCAATGCGGAAAACCTTTTCAGTTAAAAAATGGCTCATCATGCGTATTATGGCCGCGCCTTTTCCATAGGAAATTCTGTCAAATATTTCATTAATTTCATCTGGATCGGCGACTTCAACTGAAATCTTATGCGACGATGACATTGCATCTAATTGGAAAACGTTTTGTAATTCCGTGACAACAAATTGATCTAAAGTTCGCCATTGTGGCTCAACGTCATCTACAGCCAAATATTCCATATAACTCGCAAAACCTTCGTTTAACCAAATATCAGACCACCAACTTGGCGTAACTAAATTACCAAACCATTGATGCGCCAGCTCATGCCCAACAACACTGGCAATTCTCTGTTTATTTGTGGTTGCTGATACACCCCTTTCATACAACATCGCAGTCTCTCTGCAATAAAAGATAAATATAATTCTTCTCTTTTGTACATATATTTTCAATTAACGGCATTCGTAAAATTTTTGCTTACCTATAGGTAATTAAGCCCCAATTTTCCATTGCACCAGCATGAAAATCTGGAATTGCAATCATGTCAATCTTTGGTAATGGAAATTCAATCCCAAAATAATTTTCTAAGTTTCTTAAAATTTTCGGTCCAATGCTCAATGCATATTTAGCTGAGTCGATAGCATTTGGTCTCGCCCAAACTGAAAAGTTACCTTCAGGTGTTGTTATATTAACGAAATCTGATATTGTAAAGGCCACTAAATATGTAGACATTGGAAAAGATTCTTCATATTTGTCCCAAACGTAATGGTTTGTTCCTTCACTATGTAATTTCAGCATAATATTTTACGATTGTACATACATAAGTATATACAAATTACATATGTGTACACATTTTAAAACAATTAAAGAAAACGAGATTAATATAAAAAACTGTCGAAAAATTTTGAAGTGAATAAAAAATTTTCTTAAACTATTCATTTTAAAATTTTTTGGAAAATTTTTTTCCAAGTTATGGAATAAGAGAATTATAAATTCATTTTGTAAAATTCTTTTTAAATAAAAAACTGCCTTATATGAAAAATGTCTAAGACAAAAACGTTATTGTACATGCAAACTATTATGTAGGGTCATGGGTGGGTAGATTTGTAGATTTCAGATCGATTTCAGATCGATCGAGAGATTTTAGACGGGGCCAACAGTGCACCTCGACCACGTATGAGGATCTGTTGTGCGCCCTACTCGAGTGCGGGACGTGCCCTACAACACACGCTCGAGACCCAACCTCCTGATCAAGTAACTTGTGAGCAGAAAGACTGCGATGTTATATGAAAGGGGTGGAACACCGTTACTCCGCCGTCGTTAGAGCAAAGCCCGCAGCACCTCTTCCTTCAAATGAGCACGAGCATCACACTCTCCCAGATGGTGCACCGAAATCTCCTCATCCGCCCCACTGAATCTCTCACGTATCCTCACTTTTTAGGCCCATGCGACTGAAGTGCCGCCAAAGTCTGCAGTGACCCGACAAGACGCCAGAGAGGACTTTCACCTGGTTCCTGTCTATCCCTATGATTTTCTTTCGGGTCATAATCTCCCAGGAGATTCTTGGCTTGCCGCAGCTCCGAAAGACTTCTCCAGCGCTCTGACCGCCTTCTTTCTGATTCCTTCCTTAATTTTCGACGGATGGAATGTGGTCCAATTCCGCAGAAAGCTCAGACCCAGGATGAGATGTGTTTGCCCCCCTCATCAGCGTCCTCATTTCTTTCCACGCCCACATCTTCTGGCCCGGAACCTAGCAAAAAGTGACCCGGTCGCGCCTGCCCAACTCGTGGAGCTTCTCAAGACAGCCATATATTGCCGTGGAGGATACTGAAAACGGGTTCAACGTTCCGATCGCAGCCTGGCGATCCGACATAATCATTATCTCCTTTCCCCGATATCCCCTTTCCAGGCTGAACCGCACACACAATTCAATGGCGTGCACCTCGACCCGAAAACACGCTCGGATAAGTTCCCATAGGTTCAGAGGATTTGGTTCTTGGCCCAAACACTCCCGCACCCGTCCCCATACTGGTTTTTCACCCATTAGCGTACCATTTGATAACGTGTGTTCCTACTGTGCTACCCGAAAAGCCACGCTCCCAGCTCCTTCTGTTACTTAGCAATGAGGCAAAATTTTTCTCCAATCTGTATCTCCTATCATGTCATTCCAAGGCATCGATAGGAGCGGAACCTCCCCGACAATAAAATCGCGATAATTTGCTCCGATCATTCCAACTTCATTTTTTCCCGAAAATGGCACCCTTTGCTGCCATCTCAACAACGAGATGTAAAAGGGCTAGTTTCAAAATCACCTCCATTGGCGCAGTTGGACAAGTCCTTTGCAATCGTTCCAGGTTCTTTCTACTATCGTACTAAGAACCACTCTTCTGAGCAGCTCATAAAGAAGTCTGTCCACCAACGAACTCCACATTAGCGGAGACAGAACTCCACCTTGTAGGCATCCCCTGGCCACGCCTCCTCGATATCCAAGAGCCTCCTCGATATCCAAGAACGCACATAGCGTCACCTCCCTCTGTTCTGTTATGCTCTCCAGGGTGCTAGCAGAGCGGTCTTCGTCGACCTCCCCGCCCGATACGCATGCTGACAGCTCAGCGGCGTACTTGCCAGCACCTCTGCCCGGACATAATGGGTGGGTATATAAAACAAAATTCTTACTACAATGTGCTATACATTGTAAAAAGGGTTTGATAAGAGATAAAATAATAATTATGTAATTAGTTGAATAAACAAAAGCTAGGTAATTATTTAGGTACTTTTAGGCAATTACGTACTTAATACTTACAACTGTGGTCATATGATTAGCCGACTCATATTTAATTTTTTATACATACATATATAAAAAAAACACCATTCTTAAGATAAAAAAAATTGAATGGTTCACAAAAAAATCACATACATACATACATACATATGTTTGTACGTCAAAAAAGCAAATAAATTAAAATAACAAAATATCATTTCAAAACACGCTGGATATATACGTACATATATATATACGAGCCCTAACCATTAATAATTCATACACCTGAATTTTTAAAATTATTATTTAATTCAAAGTACCAGAAATATAGTAAACTTATAAACAAAATATAGTAAAGTCTCTAATCTTCTTTGTGGGTCATTTCGGAGCTTGCTTTTCATTACTCCCCAAAGGGGCTCTATGGGATTAAGATCTGGACTTGAAGCTGGCCAGTCTAAAAAATTTATATTATATATAAATTAGTCCTATCGATGAAGTATAAATTACCCACACCTTTAGCAGACATGCAATCCTACAGTATAACAGAAGCTGGAAATTTAACGGTTTGTTTTAGACAGTCCTGATGGTATGTCTCATTTTGTCTGCGAATTGCACTCTTTTTCTAAAATCTCCTACGCATAGATCAAATTTAGACTAATCGCTAAATATGATGGACTTCCATTGTCCTTGTGTCCAATTCTTACGTTCCTTGGCCCATACTAATCGTTTTTTCTTCTGCGAAATGGTTAATAAAGGCTTTTCTTTGGCTTGGAAACTTAAATAGATTGAATGGTAATAAATAAAATATGCTGCTTTTGATTTTTCGTTTTTTATAGTACGATATAAAATGAATAATTGAGTTTATGAATGTTTTTTCGAGTCCATTTTTCGACAAATCCTGTATAATAATTTTATTTAAAGTTCTCAAATCTCTAGGTGTTATTTGAGATTTTCGACCTTTTTTTCGAAAATTCTTTGTAAAACCATTTGCTTTAAAATTTTAAATTATATTCACTACAGCAGATCTAGTTACTCGTAAATTAATTTCTTCTGATATTTCACCATAAATTTTTCCATTTTGGTACTTATTCACAATCAAATCGCGCACTTTTTTCACTATAGGCCTTCCACGCGTCATATTTGGCATTAAATAATAATGCATTCATAAATTAATTGAATTTTGGTAATAAAATAATTCTCTTATGGGCAAGTAACGGTAATTTGTTTTAATTCTCATTAGAAGTATAACACCCGTTAGAATAATACCATTACTGAAACAACTTTTGCAGCTGTATGAATTAATAGTGGTCGAAGAAATATTTAATTTTTTGATATTAATATAATATTGTTAATTTTTTTAATTTGCATAAAGTTATATAATATAAAATTAAAGATTAAAAATGTAATTTTTAAAAAAATATAATAAGGTACTAAAATAGTTTACCATAATATTTCTGGTACATTGAATTAAAAACAAAAATAATTTGAAAAATTCAGGTGTATGAATTGTTAATGGTTAGGGTGGTATATATATGGTTTTCTGTCAGAACATATTATCTACACATTTGTCGTTTAGAGTAAAACACTTACAAATGTGTTTAGTATACGTACAACAAAATGGCAACAAAATTTAGTAAAGATGGTTTTAAAAGTTAGCATTTTAAAATGTTGATACTAAATATTACATATTTTTAAAACTTTAACATATTTTTCTATATCACATAAGATATACGCTTTTTCCTATTGCAATTAGTATCAATCAGAACTGAATAAGTTCACTTATGTATATAGTTTTCAATGTTTTTAAAAGAGCGTTTCACTAATATGAAAATAACTAACATGAACATTTAAATATGAAATGAATATGTGCAGACGTTTCATTTTCTATCTGAAAAGAAACGGTATAAAAACCAGAATATATTTTCATTCAAAAGTGTATAACATGTGCATGAATTATCTATATTTCAATGCCTTCTTAGAAAATTTTATGATCTCAAGAAGTACTGTTGATATCTAATGTCAGAAAAATTTTCGGAACAATAGTGTTTTTCAAGGATGTTTTTTTAAAACTATTGGAAAAATTAAATTTTTTTTCTTGCGTTAGAAAGCGCCTAATATTTTAAGTAATACTGCATTCATAAATTTTTTTGGTCAAAAATGTAGATATCTTGTTATGACAGAAAACCCTATAGATAATTTGTATTATTTATTAATTATTGCGAACGAATGATAATTTAAAGGTTAAAATTCAAACAGAACGTAATTTCGAGATTATTTGAATTTTAAAAGAGTTTAACATATTTATTTCAATCTCTTTTGGAATGACTTTTTATTATTTAAATTAATTTTAATTAAATTTTTTTCATATACATATATATTATATGATTTTGTTGCGATATAGTATACTTACTATTTATGAACAATTAAATTTTTTATAAATTCAAGAATTGTGGTTGATGCTATAGTAACAAATTTTATATGAATTGGTTATTTATATGGCCACGAATCTATGAACCTACATGATAGGAGGCCTATAAATTGAATTTTAAAAATTGGTGCAAGAAACCTAAAGTCATGGTACCGCAGACAAAAAAATCTGATGTGATTAGCACATAACCGACCGCAATAATCCCTAGTTTAATGAAAGTGTTAAAGAAGATCATGAAATGCGTTTTAAACACTTCCTTACAATTTTAATGACATTAGCAAGCTTTAACGTCAACATACCTAGAAAAGTGTAAATTTTGGCTCTTAGTAGAATTTCATTTTAACACTCCATTTAAATATTAAATTTCGCGAAAATTAGTTGATTATTTCTCCTTATATACGTAAAAATGTAAAATTGGCTAGTTCCCGAGGTCCGATATTTCTCCAAAGTTGATCAATCCGTGCCATAGCCAAAAAAAAATCACATATAAAATTTCATCACAATCGATTCAGCCGAACTTGAGATATGCGATTGTACCCACAGACCGACAGACCGACATCTCTCTAAAAGTAGCTTGTTTACGCTTTCCTTCTATGGAGAAGTGCGTTCCCGTCAAAAACTCGACATCTAAAATTTGGTGCAATCACATGACCTATCTCATTTTTATATAATGGTCGGTAAAAATGGTACATTTTTTTATTGTTTTTGTAGCAATTAATTAATTCTCTATATTAAAGTACTTAAACGAAATATACTTATTCATCTGATAAATAAATCAATATTTTATTTAAAAATGCAAAAAAATTTATCAATTTGAAACTAAAATTTTTTCACATTGAATCAAAAATGTACAAAAAATGTATGTTAAAATAGTTGTTGAAGCTCAACTCTTTTTGAGATTTGAAATTTCCAAATAATATTTTTTAAAAAACTTTAAGTAACAGTTTAAATCAAAGCATAAAAAACAAACAAAGAATTCGATTGAAAAAAAAAATCGGAGTTTGAAAAATTTTTTCTGAACTTTTAGAAAAAAAAAAAATCGGAAACCGAATTCCCTGAAATGCTCGCCATTTAGTTTCGGTAACAACCAGAACTCAAATATCAAATTTCAACAAATTCCACCAATTCGTTCCGTAGATATGGTGAAAAATATAAAATCGGCCCGCAGATCAGTTTTCGAGCTCTGATCTTTTCAAAAACTTTATATGTTCATTGTTTCAATACGAAGAATTTAAATATTAAATTTCAAAACGAAATCGGTTGATTATTTCTCTTTATATACGCAAAAATGTATATTTGGCCTGTTGTAAATGTCCAGTTGCTGATACCTGATTTCTTCCAAAAGTTAAGAGGTTGACGGTTGAGCGGAGCTTATACATATATGAAATTTCAAGTAAATCTGTTGAATATTTTCTTCAAAATGGTCAAAAATGTAAAACAGGCCTGCTAAAAAGTGCAGTTCCCGAGGCCTGATATATTCCAAAAGTTGACCAATCCGTGCCATGGTCGAAATAAACTTACATATAAAATTTCATCAAAATCGGTTCAGCCGAACTTGAGATACACGCGTGCACGCACAGGCCGACAGACCGACAGGGTGCTTAAAATAATTTATTTACACTTCCCTACCATGGAGAATTGCGTTCCCACCGAAAACTCGATATGCAAAATTTGTTGGCATCACATAACCTACCTATTGTATAGACAATACGGTCGGCAAAAATTAAAAGTTAAAAAAATTAGAGATTGGAATTGGCCAATCTTATTATCAAATCTTGAAGAGTTTGGCAGTACTGATCTATGATGATAGCAGATCTATGCAGATATGTGCATACATATGAGTAATATGATTTTATATATGACATTCTATCATTCAGTTTGAATTATCTAAAATATTCTACTTCAAAAATTTAGATAGATTTTTAAACTTTTTAAATTAAAATTTGTATTATTCTACGAGTATTAAAATCGATCAGAAAGAAAATTATTTATGAAATTTATTAATGTGTTAAAAGCAAACCATTTTTTATATAAGGTTATAAGATGATATGATATAATAATGTTGATTTAAATTAAACTGTTAAATAAGTAATTCATTAAATTAATTTAAGCGATTTTACTAACACAACTTTTTCGTCTCCAATAATTTTTGGCATATTTGATAGGGTTGTCATATTTTTTGGCCGGGCCAAATTTAATGTGAAATTGGCTTTTAATGCTGGTTCATCAAAACATGGAAAAACTCGACGTGCATCTGTAGGTTGAAATTGTGTTGATGCCAGCCATCTCATCTCATTTTCAAATTCATATGAACTTTTATAAAGTCCTTGCAAATAGTCTGATATTTGACCATTAAATTTAATAAATATTTCATATTCAGAATTTTTCTTTAAAACATGGTTAAATTCTATAACATAGAACTGTTTCTCTATTATAGAATATTGTTTTTTAATATCAATTTTTATAAATGGAACATAACTTTCTTGATCCATCGTATATATCCTTCTCACAGTTAAATTATTTTGCAATATATTTAATTCGGTAGAATGTAGTGTTATGTTTGTACAATCCTCAATTATTTTAACATGTATTATCTCTTCACCCGAAAAAGTAAATATTCCATCAAATAGAGATGGAATTATGAATATATTGTACTTTAATGGTATGACAGATTTTGGTAGCCGTATGTTTAATTTTGGTTTAGTGAAGTTTTTATCTCTCTCATTTATTTTATTTATATTTACTAATGGTGGCAAATTTGCTGTCGTTAAAATACAATTAGGAGTACCATTCTCTTTAACGGGTGCTGCATGTTCGGGACATGCAGAGAGAAAATATACCAAAATTCCCACGGCTATGAGAATAAATAAAAAAAATCCACCTATTGTGCATAGAGTGGTCATTGACATTGTGTAAACATGTTTTCTGTTGAAAGTTGTACTGTTGTTTCCGGCGACATCTAATGATGTTAAATTTTCATGAAGATGTATTTCGTTAAGTACCATGATCTTAAATGATTTGTTTAGAAAATTTCTTTGGGTTATATATTGTGGTAAATTTTTTATTTTTATACTTTTTTAAAACAAATTTAATTAGAAAACATTTTGCAATTCAAACTCTTTTTTATGATGTAAAAAAGTAGTGTTAATGTTAAATTTAAGGTCCCAGAAATGTTTAATGGAAATTTTCCTTTCAAATTAGCAAATAATGATGTAAAAGTTTTGGAATGATATCTCCTGTAAAGAAAAAAAAAACTGTGTATAATAAAAATTATAAATGTACAGAGTATTTCGCATAAGGTAGGAAATAATTTTAGGGATAATTCTTTGATCAATTTCAAGGAAAAAATTGTATGGCGGAGGGGAAGGGGGGGTGCAGATATACTCGTTTTCGAGCTACAGCCTGTTGAAAAAATAAGGTACCGAACTTTTCTTGTATATAAATAAATGCTCCCCCCTCCCCCCATCCATACAATTTTTTGCTGGAAATTTATCAAAAAATCATCCCTGAAATTATTTGCGACCTTATGCGAAACACTCTGAATGGGCTAAGTTTTCGGAGCTCATTAAACAAGATTAAATTTTCTGTTGTAAAGTTTGGTTTTGAACAAATTTTTTACACTATATATGTATGAGTACATATAGTGTAAAAAATTTGCTTTTAACAGCACTTCAGAATATAACATTACAATACGAAGATGATTAATGGTGTTCTACTACTATATTAAATTTTGTTATAATATAAAACGACTGAAATCCATAATGAACTCAGATAACCAAGGAAAAGGGGAAATTATCTTTTCGGTGTTGTGGCACAACACATTTATCATGAAAATATCAAATAATTTCAAGCGGTTATAAACGAATAACATTCTGTTTAGCATTATTTACATATTATATAGTATGTAGTCACTATAAAATAAAATCAATTCATCAAAATTTGAAAACAAATATACATACTTGTACTTTCCCTATTTAACAATATTTTTGCAACACATAAAAAAGTTATTTTTCTTTCTACGTGATGTGAGCCACAACCAGTATCAAAGTATCGCATTTCTTAAATTTGTTTTACGTATATGTGTCGTATATTATATAGTTTTATATTGTAAAAAGCGACATGTATGTAAGTTAAAATTTAAAACATGTTCGTCGTTAAAATGCAAAGCACCGATAAAAAGGGCTGCCAGCTAAGCTGAGTAATTCAATAGCTGAGTAATTCCTCAATTTACGATTACGGTTATGTCAAAAAAATTCAAAGTAAATTTAAAAAAGTGAGTACTTTTCCAATTATAATTTTTTAACAATTTAGTTAATTTATTAAAATTTTTTGTTGATTTTTTTTATTTTTAATTGAAAATTTTGTAAAATTCATTTAAAATTCACCTCCAGGAGATGTTCTCATTCCGTGGTGTGAAAGCCGCAACGCACCATTTTTAAGCAGCCACAGCCCACAAATCAAAAGAGTAGAGAAGTAATTATAAACCGCAATTTGGATGTTGAAGGAAAGTTTCATATTTTTTATAAAGTCAATTTTGCGTTCCTCGTTGGAACATGTGGTGACACGCGATTTTAACAAACTTTTAAGAATTTTTATCCTTCCCTTAGTTCCTTTTGTCATTCAATACCAGAAATGAAATATGTAATTAGTTTGTTAAATGTGCTTGAAGTAAGAAATTCTATAAATTATTTTTGTGTAAGAGGAAATCATACACATTTTACCAGGTGCGTATGTTTTTAAATTGTCACCTCCGAGGTGATTTATAAAAGGAGAGAAATAATATATTAAGAATAACCTCGGAAGGGATTCATAAATTCACCTTCACGTGAATTTATTGTATTTGTAAAAATTATAATTGAAAATTATATATTAATATAATACATATATTATATTAATATAATATATTACACATTTAATACATATTTAATACATATATACATTTAATACATAATACATACATTTAATATAATACACACATACATATATTCTAAATTAAATCTATTCTTAACGTAGTATATGGCGACATATAGGGAAAACAGCTCTTTATTTATTTTTATAAACAAATGATGTTAATCTAGTTTGTTCATAAACATTGATAAATTTTCGAAACATAGCGAAATAATTATGAGTAGCCCAGTTAAATCATAAGAGCTGTTTTGACTTTATAGAAGAGTTGAAAATATGTATATTGCATATTCATCACACTATGTTTTTGCAGTTATTGTTTTGCAGCACTACACCTATGAAAATCTTTATAATTTTGTATTTTATTTATATTTCCTAGTATTTTAATAAAATTCACAAATATTTGTTTTCTAAATAATTTTTTAAAATTACAATTAAATTAGCTTAGTGTATATGAACTCAAATAATATCAAGTAATCTAAATAACCAAGAAAAAAATTTTTTTTAAATTTTATACCCTTTTTAGGAAACTACTGTTCTATTCTTTACTGTTCTTCTACTGTTCAAATGAATGTACATATGTATTTATGTATGATTTATTACACATTGATTTGAAACATTTCGGATCGTAAAAATGGAAAGCATAATATAATATGTATAAAATGTGCTTGAAGTAAGAATATAAAGTACTTTATTCAAGTTAAATAAAGTACTGGATTCAAATTTTGTTGTTTTGTTCAAATTCTGTGTTTCAATTTCGAATAATATTAGAAAAATTTTTGGATAAAAAATAAATATAATTTTTTTAAAAGTGAATTGTTTTGTAAATTGTAAAACTGAGGATTCGGTCAACAAAGAAATAAAGAAACAGTATAATATAGTTTTAGTGCCATTTTGTATCTGGAAATCAACATCGCAACGTTGTATCGGAATTGTAAGAACGTCTCAAGTTGAAAAGTATTTTGCTTGCATCATTTTCATCAAAGTACATTATATTACAAGTAATACTACAGGCAATACAAAATATAAAAAAAAAATGTGTTCAGTTCAAGGGTAGTAAGATTGTAACATAAAAGTACGTAGATACATTATATATTGTACATGTACATATATTTAATTTCAATTGGTAAAATAAATTCATTCAAAGGAAAAGAAACTAATGAGTCTTGTATAAATTTGATTTTTTTTACAAATAAAAAAAATATTTTGAATTTTTTTTTAATTTTTAATTTAAAAAAATTTTTTACTTATCTTTCAATCAGGTAAAAAAATGAAATAAATAGGGTCCTGTTACGACTTTGACAATGCTTAAAATACAACTAGAAAGAATTTGACTTCATTGTTTTTTCATGATGCTCTTTCCTTCAGTATTTCTATTTTATTGTCAATACATTTATGATTTCAGAGTTAATAGGGTTTACTTTTGCATAATATTTTAATGAAGCAACAAAAGTTTTCCAATTTAAAGGAACTATATGTTACATATTATATAGCATTTAAATTTGTAAAAGCAAAAAAAATGTCAAAAATCCTTCAAAACAATAGATAAAATATGTAATAAAATATATAAAAACACAAACAAAAATAAAGAAAATAGAATAAAAAATATGTAGAACTCTTTATAAAGAGGTATAAAACAAGAGCAATATTTCTCGAAATGAATGATCTATGGTAACCCTAAGTTAAAAAAAAATTATGATTCGTATAACCTTTTAGATGCAAAAAAAGTTCATTGTTGTCACCATATTCAATAGATATGTTTTAACAAAATTCGTGCAAATTGTGAATGAAACTTTAAACCATCACGTGCAGTACTTATTTGGTTTCTTTTTGTACTTTATGAAAATTAACATAGCTTTAGAGGAAATAAGGATCTCCTCAAAATCTACAAAAAATTTTATACAAATATGAAAAATTTAATGAATCATTTTATTGGAAGCATTAATTTTAAACTTTTTGCAAATTTGCTATATTATATTAAAAATAATGACAAAACTAAAATATTATCATCGTATCCTTTAAAAGTTTAAAGTACATATCTCTGTAATTTGTAAACATGATTCTACGAAGCATCAGACATATTGTATCATCTTCTGAAATAGGGTATCTTCGGAATAACATCTACGACGCTTTAGACACATTATGTATGACACATCAGATGTTGTGTCTGCGACGTTGTTAACACTAAAATACCTATTTTTCAAATTGTGTAAGCAAAATTATTTCAATACATATGTTTTTTTTATATACATACATATGTACTTTTTTCAGTTCTAAGTAGAAATTTTTAAAATAAATTGAAACACCAACATTTTTTTTATAAAAGAAAGCAGTGGAATGAAATAATACAAGACATCCAGATTTTTAAGTTTTCAAATAAAAAATAATACAATGTATTACAAAAAAATCTGATGTTGCCACCACAAAACCGACCGCAATGTGTATTGTCTAGTTAAGTTAAAGTGTTACAGAATATTATAAAAATGCGTGTTAAATACTACTTTCCAATTTTTAGGGCATTAGCAAGCCTATAGTTAATATACCTAAAAAATGTAAATTTGGCTTTTAGTAGAGTTTTGCTTTGTGCTACCCGAATTCCCTGAAATGCTCGCCAGTTAGTTTTGGTAACAACCAAAACTCAAATATCAAATTTCAACAAATTCCATCAAGCCCTGATCTTCCCAAAAAATTGCTTTAATACGAAGAATTCAAATATTAAATTTCAATGAAATCGGCTGATTATTTCTCTTTATAAATCGGCTGATTATTTCTCTTTATAAATCGGCTGATTATTTCTCTTTTTTTTTCCAAAAGTTAGGAGGTTTCGCGGACGGTCGAACGAAGCTTATATATGAAATTTCAAGTAAATCCGAGGAATATTTTATTCTAATGATCGAAAACAGGCCGGCTAAAAAGTGATCAATCCGGTTCAGCCGAACTTGAGATACACGCAAAAACGATATAAATGAGATGACTTATACCATTCTAAACTTGAGTGAAAATTTGCTATAACTTTACACTTAGTCTCTCACATTTATTGTCAGTAATACGAGTATATATAATTATGAAAAAAGGAAAGATACAAATGAGAGCTACAAATTATTCTTCAAAGAGCCGCATGTTGGTCGCGAGATGCAGCTTATAAATTTAGTACAAATTAACAATTTCGTACAAATCTGTTTTATAATATTATTACAATGTTTATATGTA